CTACCCTAACCCTTAGGGGCTTTACAGGGTTCATGGAATTGTACATTTTATAGAATTTCATAGTTATACAGAGTTCTATAGGATTTATCGAGTTTGTTAGAGCGAGTTTGTTCGTCAGCAACTGTAAATATCAAACTTTTGAGAAACAATGTCATATTCGACAACTATATTTCAAGCAGAGTGAGTTCAACAGAGTTGTATTGAGTATTATAAATTTTTATAGAGTTTAATATTTTTCAAACTTTCCAGAAACAATTTTATCTTCAACATTATACAAAACACTTCAGAAACTAACTTTGAAACTCTTCAGAAACCATTTTCTCATCAAGCCCTTCAGCAACTATTTTCATTGCAATGATATTTCAATTTCCTTAGGAACAACAGCAAGCGATCTTTCTAAACAATGGTTCACTCGTCAGCAACTGTAAATAAATATCAAACTATCATGAACAATGTCATATTCCATAACTCTATTTCAAACTCATCAAAACAAAACTACAACTTCTTTTCCGAAACAATGGCACATTCTTCAGCAACTATCTATCAAACACTTCACTAACCTTATGAAACTCCATAACTCTATTAAAGCTTAAATTTAAATCTTATCAAACGCAACTTAGTACCGCAACCGAATGTTTCCATATTAAATTTAACTATTAAATTATTATAATAAATTAAATTAATATTAAATTAAAAACTAAATTTAAACTAAACTTAAAACAAAATCATAAACGACTAAAACTAGAGCTTTTCAGTCTGTATTTATAGGCTTCTTTCCATACATTCTCATCAGCGTATATGCCAAGTCATTAATTAAATAATGAAAAACTATGAATACATATTTTTAGACCTCTTTTTAACGCTGATTGGTTTGAAACGAAAAATTACGCCATAATGCTGTTAAGTTTGTAGTAAGTATACATTTTTTGACAATCCTTTAAAACGTGTTTACTAATTGTAGTTCGCTAAAAAAATCACGCCACGCTCTACAGTTCAATGCTTCAAATTTGTCAAATTCCTTAAATGCACACAGATGCTGAAAAGGCTAGACCCACTAAATTACAATTCTGAACGGCAACGGCAATTTGTGATCAGAGTAATGAAATCAAGCCACTATTCAGCAATTATTTTCGTTGCATCGATATTTCAATTTTTCTCAGAGACAATAGCAAACGATCTTTCTAAACAATGATTCACTCGTCAGCAACTGTAAATAAATATCAAACTTTTAGAAACAATGTCATATTCGACAACTATAGTTCAAACTCATCAAAACAAAATTCCAACTTT